AATACAGGTAGTGTATGTAGCTGCTCGGTAAAAACACAATCACATCTGCAGAAGAAATCATGGAGAAGCTCAATGTCATCAATCCAAACAGGTCAGGGGCTGACTATAGAACAGATAATCAATTAATTTTATTTTTTCTCCAGATCTGTGGGAGTGTACAACTCAGATGATTGACTTTGTATTCAACAAATTAAACTACTAACCAAATCTCCTAATAGCTTACTATTCATCCACTCCTTGTTTCCCTTTTCCCGCTTCTCTATCATGAAGAAAAGATCCTCAACAAGACAGGAAAGAGAGGGGAGAAGTCAGAAGAGACTCTGAGACTCGCTCTCGAATGTAGGAAAGATAAAGAAAAGACAAATGACATGAAAAAGCTAATCAGAAGATTTTAGCAGGCAACCACAGAATATAAAATATTATAATGAAATGTGCAAAGGGCTGACATTAAAAAAACCAAGAGGTAAGGGCATGCTCAGCCTTCCTCAAGCTGAAATAACTGGCGGAAAAATTCACGCCTTGCGGTGAACTACCAAAAGATTCTCCAGGCAAATATGAAATGAAGCAGGGAGTATAAAAGTTTAAAGGAATAGGCAGAGTTACATTAACAAAAGGAAATGGTTTATTCAACCATTTCAAGATTCACTGTATGATGAAGAATGATGTTATTGAAGGAACAAGTCCCAACCACATGGAAGGCATTGGAGAAGAATAAAGCTCCAGGAATGGATGAAGCACCAGTTGAGAAATTTCAAAACATGGTTGAAATGTTAGTAGTACATACTCACCCATGTCTCCAAAGAAATTTGGAAGTGAGCTACCCAGCCAACCGAAAGGAAGAAATCCATATTTCTGCCCATTCTGAAGAAAGGTGATTCAACAGTGTGTGATTTATCAAACAGCATAAAATATTATTACATGTAAGTAAAAATTTGTTGAAGATAATTTAAAAACAATTACAGGAGAACATCAGCAGAGAAATACTAGAAATGCTGGTACATCAAAAGGACACAGAATAAGGAATATCAGTTCTGAAGTCAGATGTCAGATGGATATTGGCTGAAAGCAGAATATCACAAAGAGATGTTTACTTGTGTGTTATTAACTATGCAAAAGCATTCAATTATGTAGAACATAACAAATTATAGATGACATTGCAAATAATGGGAATTCCTGCTCCTATGGAACCTACACCAACCTGGGACCAAGAGGCAGCTGTATGAATAGAACAAAGGAATGCTGCCGGGTTTCAAATCAGGGCAGCTGTGTATCAGGGTTGTATCTTCACCATAGTTAGTCAATCTACTGAGGAAACAATTAAGAAGCTAGAAGAACTATGAATCAGGATTGGAAGCAGGCTCTATCACAACCTATGCAATGGAGATGACACAAACCTTGCTTGCTGGTTGAAGCAAAGAGAACCTGAAGCACTTCTGATGAAGCAGATCAGATGAGCTGCTATGGGAGGACATCAAGAAAATCATATATGAAGAAGCGAAAGGTCATTAAAAAGACAAGAAAGGAAGAAAAGATCAAGTGGATGCCAGAGAGGCATGAAAACTTGCTCGCGCATGTAGTGCTGGAAAAGCAAATGGACAAAACAATGACATCAAAGAGCTGAAGAGAACATTTCAAAGAACAGCTCAAGAAAACAAAGTAAAGTATTATAATAAAAGTGCAAAGACCTAGAGATAGAAACTTAAAAAGGCAGCTCAGATCAGGCCACATGCCACCTCTGCCCTATGCTCACTCCTCCATCTTCACCCGTTTGTTCTTCCTCTCCCTCTCCCCCGTGCCCTGCGCTGTCCTTCCTCCTCTCTCCTACCCTGTCCTCTCCCCTGTCACTGTTCTGTCTTTTAAACTTCAGGGGGGCCGGGGCCGGGGAAATCAGTGTTTTAATCACATTTTACAGAAACTTCTTCAATCTTTGTAAAATTACCATCCTATGTAAAGTTGAAATTGCGTTGAGTTGGAGATTGTCGTGAAATAAAGATCACACCATGCTTGAGGCCAAGAAATAAAAAAGGAAGAACACTCTCAGCATATTTTAAACTGAAAGAACTAAAGAAAAACTTCAAACCTCAAGTTGCAATATTGAGAGTTTCTGCAGGCAAAATATTGAACAATGAAAGAAGCATCAAAAGTTGATGGGAAGAATACACAGTCACTGTACCAAAAAGAACTAGTCAACAATCAACCATCTCAAGAGGTAGTATATGATCAAGAGCCAATGGTACTGAAGAAAGAAGTCCAAGCTGCACTGAAGGCACTCGCAAACAAATAAATAAATAAACGGAGGGTTGTGATGATGGCACGGGGCTAGGCAGTGCTTCCTTCTCTCCTGGGTGGAGTCACTGTGAGTAAAATCGACTCCATCACGCCTCTATTCAAAGCAATCCTAAAGACAGAGCAGAACCACAAGACCTCCCGGGTTGTAATCTGCGAGTGCAGATGGGCGGGTCTTTTTTCCTGCAAAGCCAGTAATGGGCTTTGAACCTCCTACCTTTCTACTACCACCTGAGTGCTTAACCATGGCACTGCCAGGGCTCCTTTCATTAGAGACATCTATTAGGGGGCATGACGTATAGAATATCTGCCTGTAGAAGTTTTTAAAAGTTTCTTTGAGAAGTTTATATTTAACTTGGCACCTCACAGAAGAATGATAAAACAAATAAATAATCCAAGCCCATTGCAATCAAGTCCATTTCCATTTCTATTCACCATGACCCAATAGGACAGAGTGGAACTGTCCCAGTGGGTTTCCAAGGCGGTACTCTTCCTGTGTGCCAACCGCCACATCTTTCTTCCACGGAGCAGCTGGTAGGTGCTAGCCACCAACCTTGGTGAGCAGTTGACCAGTTAACCACTGTGCTACCAGATTTCCTAGGACAAAATTATGTTACCAAATACATAGGCTGAAGAGCGGAAGGAGTGGCCAGGTATTTCAGAAAACTTTGGAATCTTCAGAGGATTTATCTAAAAAACAACAGCCCAGTTCTCACTTGCTATGCTTCAGAGGATGCTGCTGAAAAGTAGGCTTCCGTCTTGATTATATGGTCTTAAGAGTAAGCAAGCAGTTTGACTGTTGAATGGTCTAGTAGTAACCTCTACTGCCCCTAGTATTATTGTTAGCTTTTTTTTTTCACTTATTTGGAGGAATTTGCTTAATTTTTTAAAGTCTGCTTCATTAGATTTATAAGCTCTTTATAAAGAGATCAGGTCTGCCTAATTCATCAGTGTATTCAAAAGCATATGAGAGGAAATCAATAAATCTATTCTTTATTATTTACTTATTTATTATGTTGTTGATTTAGAACATGTCTGTTCATTTTGAAGATTGCTGTTCTTTGGAACCACCTGTCAATATTTCAGGTTGGCTGCTGACTTCCGGTTTTCCACCGCTTTCTTCGTCAGCCATTATTTTGTCAGTCACTGTTTGGTGTAGCCCTTGTCAAGTTTCACGACAAATTTCCTTGAATTTTAAATTAGGTTCAGTAGGTCAGTATATGTATGGGGTTGAATGTGAGTCACCCAAGTCATGGCACTGCGGTGGAAAAGGATCTGAAATAAGTCCTCATCAATTCTAGCTATAAAAGCAAAAATTCACTGCCATCTAACCCATTAATGCTCAGAGTGATCATTTACCATAAATCGTTACAGGTGCAAAGCCTCAGGAGCAGAACTGCCCCTTTGGCTCTCTGAGAGTAATGCTTACAGAGTGGAAAGCCTCACCTTCCTCCTGAGGAGCAGGTGGTGAATTCAAACCGCTGAGGCCCACTCCGCCACCGGGACACCCACTCTATCTAAAGGGCATGTGCTTTTTCAAAATGTAACAAATTAATTTTTTTTAAAGGATTGAGATATAAAAGTAAAAGAGACCATTCCAGAGTGTCTTCATTGGTATCAACACCAGAGAGCAGAATAACATCCCATTTGGCTGTCCCACTTCATCCCAAGCCATGTTCACATATTACCTTATGCTTAGATTCCTTCTTTATTTGATGGCCCAATCTTCCCCGTAAGTGAAATAATGTCCTCTTGTTAATACATGAAATCAATTTACATAACAAAAATCAGAGTAACTACTTTCACTCCTGTTCCTCATATGGTACATCCCTCTGGGCTCAGTCTTCAACACAATTCCTTATTAAAACAAAACAACCAAACAATCCTCACTATCATTGAGTCACATGCCCACACAGAATGACCCTAAAGGACTGAGTAGAATCGCTCCTGTGCCTTTCCGAGAATGTACATCTTTATGGACTCACAATCTTATTTCCCTGCCACCCAGCAGCTGGTGGTTTAGAACTGCTGACCTTGTGGTTAGCAGCCCAATTTATAACCCAATAAGCCACCCTTCCCTATAAAAAGGCAACAAAAACACAAACTAACCGATCTCACTGCCCTCAAGTAGCTTTTAACTCGGTGACAGGGACAGACGCGTTATCTAAAACAACAACAAAGGAAGCACAACAAATATAGTGGTTAATTTGTCTGGAGTACTGGCTGCGTCGTGGGTTAGGGTTACGTGTTGAGCTACTATCCACAAGGTCAGCAGTTTGAAACCACCAACTGCTCTGTGGGGAAAAGGTGAGGCTCTCTAGTCCCTTGATTGACAGCCTGGAAAATCTACCCTGTCCCATAGGATCATTATGAGTCAGAATTGAACCGATGGCAGTGTTTGCTGTGCATCAAAAATTAAACGGATTATGCAAAGATCTGACATAACATTTTACGATTTCCTGTCCGCTCTCGCACCCCAGCTGCAAATCACTGGGCACTTCCACTCGCCAGGCCCCAGCCCACCTTCCCGGAAGCCGCCCGCAGGGTCGGCGGGGCGAGGCTGACGCACTTCCGGTCCGCCCCGCTGACGCACTTCCTGTCCGCCCCGCTCCGCACCGGCCGAGGGCGTTCGCTTCTGGCGCTGTCGTGGAGTGTCTTGTCCCTCCGCGCGTCCCGTCCCGCCTCCCCTCGCCTGCCGCCGCCTTCGGGCTGACGTGTCTTCAGTTCTTCCGCGGCCCGGTGCTCGGGCCGTGATGGCGGACGCCTGGGAGGAGATTAGGCGGTTGGCGGCTGACTTCCAGCGGGCGCAGTTTGCTGAGGCCACGCAGAGGTGCCCGACCCCGCTCCGTACCGGAGCCCCCGATAGGCCCCGAGCGGACCGCCGGCCCAAGACCCTTCTCCCCAAGCCCCACGACCGCGGTCCCTGGTTCAGTTCTCGGCGGGGAACCATATGTCGCAAGGTGCCCCCGATGCCCCAGCCTCCCCGCTGGACGCCCCCACGGTGGCAGAGGCCGGTGGCGTCGGGCTCTCTCTGGAGTGCGTCCCGGAGGAGTCGCCCAAGTCAGCGCACGGCTTGGGTGCCTGACAGGCTGTGTCTCCCCACCCCGACGTGTGCCCACAGCATGAGATTTGAAAGGAGAGATTGAGCCCCGGTAGTATGAATACTGTGCGGACCCTTGAACCCTACGCGACCTTTTTGTGCATCACACAGATGTTCTGGGCCAGACGCATGCCCCCATCGGACATGAGCTACGAACTTGTGTCTGAAACACCCAGCCTCAGCCTTTGAGTATTAAATAGCACAGGAATAATGATCATAGAGTCCTATTTATCTATTGGCTATTTTTTGCCTGCAGTGTTTTTATTCCTTAGCCCCCTAATGCTGTGTTTTGTATTATTGGGGCAAAGTAGGACACACGCAGTAAGTGCATCGGTAACTAACAGAAGCAGTTAGGGGGTTATTAGGTCAGAGCTCCTGCCAGCCTGTGTAGACCAAGTGTATGAATGAGGCAATTTAAAAGAAAATTCTGGTTTTTGCTACAATTAAACTGAAAATTGAAGTCAAAGTAGAACAGCCTCCCCCCAACCAAATTAAACGTCATCAATTATCTATTCAACTTTGAAGGTGCAAAGCAAACCGAGAAACAGCAGGTTTAATGATTTATACATATTGAATAAGTTATTTAAGTGCATGTAAACTTGCATACTTCCTACGGGTGTTTTAAAAAAATTACTGGATCAGTATCGTTATATTAATGAAAATATATTGCATTTATATCAGACTTGGTAACTCTGCCTCCAGCTGTGTTTTAAAACCCTGTTTTCATACATCTCAGTTTCACGGTTTTATTGAGCACCAAGTATATCAGTGCAATTTTGAAAACAGCACTCTTCTCATTTCCTACAGATTGTCGGAAAGGAACTGCATTGAAATTGTGAATAAATTGATTGCTCAGAAACAGCTAGAAGTAGTTCACACACTTGATGGAAAGGAATATATAACTCCAGCTCAAATTAGCAAAGAAATGAGAGATGAACTACATGTTCGGGGTGGTAAGTAATTCCTTAGTTTTTTGTTTGTTTTTAAAGGGAAAAAAAATAGAACAATATCTTAAAACCATAATTAATACCATATGTAAATAAGATAACCCTTCTCAGTTAATGTTACCATTAGCTTTATTAGTTCTAGGCAAAGAATATTTGTATAATTTAAATGAGCTTAAATATTACTTTACAGTATTACCTTTTTTGTTCTTTTTAGTTACATTTGCTTTCTGTGAATTGACTATTTCTTTTTAGGATTCACTAATTTTTACATGTCGTAGAAATAGGAACCTAGCTGCCTGTTAATATTGACAAAATAGTAAAGAAGGACAGATGTTAAAGGACCGTTGCAAAAAACTCACGGCCATGGAGTCAGTTATTACTCACAATAACCCTACAGCACAGACTGGATTTGCTCTGTGGGTTTCTGAGATTGTAATTCCTTACGGCTGTAGGAACTCTTATCTTTTTCCCAAGGTGGAGCTGATGCATTCAAACTGCTGGTCTTGTTAGCAGTCAAATGCTTACTCCGGCAAGGGCAGCAGTTTAAAACCGCCAGCCAATACTCAGGAGAAAATTGAGGTTTGGTGTTTTGGTTGTTTTTTAATAGGTCTATCACTCACTCACTGCCATTTAGTTCTTGGAAATCAAGGCTATACTACCAGGCCTTTAAAAAAAAACAAAACAGAAAAGTTACCTTTAAGTATGTGAAAATTAAGAAATTCAATACAAGAGTGGTGCTATGCCCATCAGATTATTTGAATTGCTATTACAATTATCCATAAAAAACAATTTAGCCTATTCGAGTACTTTAATTAAAATGGAAGCAACTGTAAAAGTAATTTCATTTGTTTGTTTTTTAAGTATGACTGATGTTAGCTTTATTTTTTACCTTCTTACATAGTACTAGTTAAATGTGAGCTGGCACTTGGAATATTTAGCGATTTTCTTCTGCTGATAGTTAGAAACCTACCTATCAATTTCAAATAATGAAAAAAAATTCATCTGAAGGTAGTTGTCAGTGTGTCACGATGTCACAGTAAGTTCTGTGTTGTGAAATGAGACTGCGTACTTTCCGTGAAGTATGGCCAACTTGGTGTGTCATGTGATCTTCTTATTCAGCCTGAACTGATAAATAACACCTTGAAAGTAATATTGCTTATGCCTTCAGCCATGTAGCTGTTGGTTTTGGATTTGAAAACATCTTTGTCCTAAATGAGTGTCCTTTGTAGAAAAAGTATTATTTGCATTCAAAATTTACACCTAAAGCAATTTATAATTTTTGAGTGATATGTTCTTGTATATTGAATAAATGATTTGTGTTTTCTTGAAAGGTCGAGTAAACATTGTTGATCTACAACAGGTAATTTTTTAATTATAAAATTTCCCATTTTTAAATTTTTTGATACTGTGAATTCTTTCAATGCTTAAAAAGTATTCCCTAATACTAGTAGCATTTTTAAAATAATTGTGAAGGAATCATTATATAACCCTTACTGGTATATTGAATTAGTATGACAAGTTCTTTCTCTATTGACTTACTTGTTCTTTAGTCTTCTAAATAGACCATTTTGATTGTGAGATTTGTTAAATTTGGGATGGGAAATCACTAGATTTTCATGTTTACATGGGTTTAGTATGTGAAAGAAGTAGATAAATATAAAACAACGGTAAAAATATATTCAAAATATATAAGTGCACACCATCACTAAGGAATACTGTATCCTGTAAACAAGAAGATTGTCAGATTTTGTGTGAAATTATCTGTGAAAATGTTATAGACTAAATTATGAATATTACAGACATGTTGAAATGCAATTATTCAGAATGGAAAGTAGATCTGCAATAAGCCTTTAATTTTTGACTGAAGCTTTTACAATATTTCAACCAATTTGAATTTTACATTTGAGAATAAGTATTAAAAGTTTTACAAAGTGTGGTCTAAATTTAGAACTAAAATAATATGAACCTGACCCTAAAGGAATTTGTGCATATTTTCCAGGTTATTAACGTGGATCTGACTCATATTGAAAATAGAATTGGTGACATTATTAAATCAGAAAAGCAGGTTCAGCTAGTGTTGGGACAACTGATAGATGAGTAAGTATGCTATTTAGGAGCACTTAGTTTTTCTTTTTCTTTAATACAGTTTATATTTAAATGTAGGCTAATTGTGGCCAGTTAGGTACCTTTAAGAATTCTTACAATGCTGAATTTTATTGTAAGAGCATAATTCAACTTAAAAAGTAAGTAGCTAGTTATGTAGGGTCCTCGAGTGTGGTATAAAATCTTTTCTATTATCTTCAAGCAACATAAAGCTAACTTTCTATGCGACCTTATCTCTGAAAGTAAATTTATTCTAACAAGTAATACTAAAATTGACAGCCAGATTGTCACTGTTAAAAATATTGCAACATTTGTCTTCTGATTAACCTTATATTCAGTCACATTGATAAAAAACGTCATATTGTGAATAATGAATGTTAACTTACACATATATAAATTTCAGAAAATTGAAATGTATATTCCTTTGGGGCATATATTATGACATCATAAATGAAAAAGAGAATAGAGAGGAAAATATTTCTAATTATGATTTTTTCCCTTGCTTTTTAATATCAGGAACTATTTGGATCGGTTAGCAGAAGAGGTAAATGATAAATTGCAAGAAAGTGGCCAGGTAACCATATCAGAACTGTGTAAAACTTATGATCTTCCTGGAAACTTTCTGACACAGGTATTTCTCTTAATAATGTAATATGTCTTTTTAGATATATAAAGAATTTTAATGGAAGAGAAAAGCTAGACTCTAGCTGTTTCTTGTAAAGCTTTTAATATTGATATAGCAGTGTAGTATTTTGGAATCCTTCTTAAACCTTGATGATTCGAACCATAGAAACCAAATCAAACGCACTGCCATCCAGTTGAGTCCTACTCAGAGTAGCCCTTTAGGACAGACTAGAATTGCTGTTTGGGTTTTTGAAACTAAAGGTCTTTATAGGGGCAGAAAGCCTCATGTTTCTACCATGGAGAAGGTGTGTTCAAACTGCTGACCTTGTGGTTAACAGTTCAGTGCAGAGCCCACTCTGCCACCATGTCTCTGTGACGGACTATGTTGCATAAAAATGATGTCAATCTTCCTGAATGTAGGGAGAGCCTAAAAACAAATTCTAAGCTCTTGATATAATAGCTAATAAGCCATTTAGTTTATGTGTTTAAGTAGTGCTTTTGCTATCAAGTACACAGAAACTTTATACAGGATATTTCCCATTCTGCCTCCTTATTTTAGTTTGAGAACTAGCTGATGAGGATCATGATTTAGAAAAGTGGTTTTCAACTAGGGACATTTGGCAATGTTTGGAGACATTTGTGATTGTTAAACTAGGAAGAGAAGGAGGGGGAAGATGCTGATGGCACTCAGTAGATAAGGACCAGGGATGCGGCCAAACATCCTCCATGAACAGGATGCTCCCCAACACCCGCCTCACACTCAATAAAGAGTTCTTGGGCCCAAAATGCTACTAGGATCGTGATTGAGAAATCCTGATTGAGTTTTTCTTTTGCTGTGACTTTTTCCCCTACTATACACACAGTGCAGTGGGGAGCATAAACAAGGAATCTCACATGTCTTTGACCTTCGATACTGGTGTTGGGAGTCAGGCATCTTGATTTACAGTGGAATAACAAGTGGCCTAAAGTAGAGGCACTGTGTCTTTGTTTTTTGGGTTTGGTAGATTGACATTTTAGGATTTCTGAAGTCTTTAGAACAGTGGAAAAGGCATGGACCTTGTAGTTAAATAGACCTTGATTTGAATCCTGATTGTACCACTTAATCTCGTTTGACCTTAAGAAAATTGTCTTTTCTAGTCAGTGCATCAGATCACATATATGAAAACTGGGAATCGGTATGCTTTTTTGTAGGTATTATGTGAAAATATTTGTCACAAAGGATGTCGTCAATGAATGATAACTCTTTTATTTTATTTCCTATAACCATTAAGTGGAAAGACAAGTCTTTTTACAGGTATATTTTACTTTTAGGAAATCCAGGTTGTAAAATTTACTAAGCTATATGTGTATGAGATTAATTTATAATACACAAATCAATTTGGTCACCCACTTTTTAGAGGGAACTCCCCTAAGTTACATTTAATATACTATATAAGGTTTAAATTGTACATTTTACAAAGCATTTCAGGAGCCTAAATTCTGTTTAACATGAACAAGTGTAAATCACAGTAAGTGGAGGGGGGTGGGTGGGAATCTTTTATAAAACATTTACAAAATACCAAATCAGATCCAGATTTCTTGTAAAACTATCCTTCTGAGTACATTTTAGAAATTTATGGTTTCTTAATATTTTTGAGTTCTAATTTTTCTGAACTTTACAGTTACCAGTTTATATTCATACTGTTTTCCAAAAGCTCATTAAGAAGTTGTCTGAAAGGAATTTTTCAGTATCGTGTAAGTAGCAACAGTGCTGGCATGGATAGATGTAACTTGGTGGGATGTTTAAGATATCCGGACTTAATTCAGCTGTGCCTGCCTGCAGGCACAGAGCAGTTCTGGAGAAATGTGTGCGTGCGTTTCAGAGTGGGTTGTCAAGAAATCTCTCCTTGCTGTAGAATGGGGAACCAGACTGTCCATCACAGTAGTTTTATGGATATATCTTGTTAGTATTCACATCATAGAAGATAGCTTTCATGGTTTTTAAGAATTTTGAAAGGAAATATATTTGCCTTCACTACTACTACAAGTTCCAGATGGGTTCTTCCCTGAAGCCCACGTCATAGCTATCTATGTTTGTGTAGAGAGCTGCCTCTTAACCTATTCATCTGGTCGATCACTTGACTTTACTCCAAATAGCTAAGCCTTTTGACCCATTCATTTGTTGTTTCTAGATAAGGAAGGTTTCTGGAATCTGAACCTTTAGTTTACGTATCTCTTGAATTTGCTCTTGTTGAAATTTCTCATTATATGATACAACAGCATGCAAAATGATCATAGTATGACCCTGCAAATGTGTTTTGCATCTACTCCTAGGCACTAACTCCGCGGCTAGGTAAAATCATTAACGGGCACATCGATCTTGATAACAGAGGAGTGCTTTTCACTGAAGCGTTTGTGTCTCGACATAAAGCACGCATCCGTGGGCTCTTTAGTGCTATTACCCGGTAAGCTTGTTTGACAGCAGATGTATTTTTACGTTTCTTAGGTTGTGGTTTGCAAGCGTTTTTTTCCTAGTAGATGGACATTTTTGTTTGGTTTTGGTGGTGTAGGGGTTACACGTTGGGCTGTGATCCATATAGTTGGCTGTTTGAAACCACCAGCAGCTCCATGGGAGAAAGACTAGGCTTTCTATTCCCATAAACAGTTACAGTCACCCTGGAATGATGGCAAATACCTGCAATTTATTCAGAAGACCTGTGGATCATAGTTCTATTGTGTATTAACCCAGCAACCTTGCAGATAGGTCAGACAAGTCGGTCACAGCCTCTTTGGGCCTCCGATTCTTCATCTGTAAAAGGTAACTTTTGTAGTGGGTTATATGTGTTGGACTGGTCACACTGAGATCACAATTCAAGCCCACCAGCAGCTCCTTGGGAGAAAAATGAGGCTTTCTGCTCCCATACAGATTTACAGCCTCACAAACCCAAAGAAGCAGTTCTATTCTGTCCTCTAAGGTCACCATGAATCAGAATTGACTCAATGGCATTGAGTATGTCCTTATTGTTGTTTACCAAATAAGGGGGCCTTGGTAGTTAGACCAGTGGTTCTCCACCTTCCTAATGCCGCGACCTTTAAATACAGTTCCTCATGTTGTGGTGACCCCCAGCCATAAAATTATTTTCGTTGCTACTGCATAACTGTAATTTTACTACTGTTAAGAATCATAATGTAAATATCTGATATGCAAGATGTATTTTCATTGTTACAAATTGAACATAGTTAAAGCAAAGTGATTAATCACAAAAACAATATAATTACATATTGTGAAATATTTATTTGTAATTACAAATAAATGAAATTTTATCTTAGAGCATGGTGTAGCATGGGTAACAGTCTTAATATGACAACAGTAAACTACATTGCTACATTTTGTGACAGTGTGGGTAAAAAGCCCACTTCAGTGGAAGGTTGAGATAGCTTCTTTCTCACCAGATCAGCATATCTGCTTGTGGGCGGACCCGCCTGGAGACGGATAGAGGAGCGGTGTCTTGGTTCCTAAGACCATCGGAAATATGTGTTTACTGATGGTCTTAGGTGACCCCTGTGAAAAGGTTGTTCCACCCCCCCACCCCCAAAGGGGTTGCGACCCACAGGTTGAGAACCGCTGTGTTAGCTGTTGTGCTGCTAACAGCTGCAACACACTAGCCTTTCCAAGAGTGACCGATGAGGCCATCTGCTCTCATAAAGATCTATAGTCTTGGAAACCTTACGCAGTGGGAGTGGTTTTACACTGTCACTGTGAGTTGGAATCAACCTGATGGCCTGGAGAGTGTTCATTTGGTTGCTTGTTTACTTATCAAATAAGGTTCTACAATTCTACTTAATTACAGTGTTTATTTTACAACGTGTTAACTTACCTAAAACAAAAATTTCTGAAATGGCTGGATTTGTGTGACAAACTCAACTTTAGAATTCAAAAACTGCATTTTCAATTATTCCTTTTCTCCTGTCATCAGTTTAGCTCAATGATTTGTGTCCGTCCAGCCATTATGTGCAAATTTCTCCCCTCTGAAAACCCAGACCTCCCTGAGCTTCGTATTCCCTGTCTGCTTTTCTCCTTAACAGTTAACCTTCTTGGGAGTTGACATCTTCACTCACCATCTCAATGTATTCACTTTCTACCACTGTTTAACTTCTACCACTGACCTAGCAAAAAGTCACTATCATTAAATCTCTCAGCTACTTACCTGCTGATGTCGAAGCAGTATTTAACGCCAGTCTTCTTGAAATCTTCTCTTTCCTCTTTTCCTTTTTAAACACCATTCATCACAGGTCTCATCGTCACTTTTTCTAGCTCTTCCATTCCCTCGGAAGTTTTATGTCAGACCATCTTTTTCCTCTCTGCCGTAAACTGTCTTTCTAGATAATTTCAGATTCATACTGTTCTATCTCCTTAGTATCTCCCCTTAAATGTCTTATAACTGCCTCAAACCCGACATCCTAAAAGAGCTCACCAACTCTGGACCACCATCTGCTCCCCGAACTGGATTTCTTCTTCTGTTGTCTCTCCTTTCCTTTCACAATCTGACACTGAAACATTGCTAGTGCCATCCTGAAAAATTGGTTTAAAAAATTGATTCACTAAAAAATTTAGTGAAAATTATCATTTCCAAGAAATCCCAAATACAGGGCTTTTAAGTATTCAGTCATTTCAAGCAACCATTTCTGCTCTCCCACTTTTTATAGAGAAAGTTCACACATCTTAATAAATCAGCAGTAGAGTCTTAGTGTAGTTGGAATACTTAAGTATTTTATTTGTATATATAGAAGTAAAAGCAGACAAATCTAAACTAGAGGACAGATTTAATTGGCTTAAAATAAGTAGAAAAGAAAATTATGGTTGAAAAGGAAGATTCAGAATCCTGTTTCAGCTTACCTTTAAAAAAACAGAATTATTTTAAAAGAAATGCACTTATTGGAATCTACTCAAAAAAGATACAAAACATAACCACACACAGACAGGAATATTCACAACAGTATTGATGACAGTTTTGAACTAGAAACAGTCCAAATGTCCATCAGTTGGTAAGTGGATAAACAAAGTGCTATATCCATAAAATGGAAAGTTACTGAGTAATAAGCAGGAACTAATAAATCGTCCACAGTGGATGCACCTGAAAATCTTGCTAAGTGAACGAAGCAAGACGTAGACCAAGTATTGCTTCCATTTTTACAGAATGCCTAGAAAGGCAAATTAGTAGAGACAGCAGGAATTAGTTGCAGACAGGTATGCAGTAACTTTTGAGGATGATGCAAATGTCCTAAAACTAGATTATAACAATGAGTGCATAATTATAAATTTAATATCATAGAATTGGTTTCTTATATGTTATGAACTTGAATATAATCCCCTTTATGGAATTTAAAAATCGTTTATTAAAGCAGTTTTTTAAAGATATGCATAATCATTATAGAAAATACTGTGAAGTAAAAAAGAGCATTTAGCAGGCCCTTCCCCATGATGCACCCTAAATTGCTAGTATATCTTTCCAGATTCAGTTCATATATAATTTCGTTCTTCACAATGAAATCATGTTTAACAATTACCGGGATATTCTTTTTTAGGAAAAGGACTTCCCAAATAAAAAGAACGGAGAGGAAGAAAATATATATACCTAAAAGGCAGGGCAGATAGTCATGTATTACCAAATCTGAGGTGCAAATTTGGTAAAGAGCAAAGTAAATTGATCCTAGATTGAGAAGATAGAAAAATTTTCTGGTGTTTCGTAACTTAATCTTGTTTCAGTAGGTAAATTTTAGTGTAATTTTTATTTCACTTTCCCTTTAAGTTAATTGGTGTTTTTATAAATTCTATCCTGTTTTTTGAATTCATAAATATTTAGAACTAGATAATAAATATGAAGGTTTTTAGTTTGTCTTTTTGTTTTATTTTCCTTTTCCTATCCATAAAGGCCAACAGCAGTAAATCCTTTGATATCAAAATTTGGATTTCAGGAGCAGCTCCTTTACTGTGAGTTTGGCTTAAATCCTACTTCACTTAATTAGCTACCGAATGACTGGTGATTGTAAAACATCTTGATTTTATTGTTCTGCCGTCTACTAGCCTTAAAAGTAAGTTTGACTAAAGTATTTCTTGGTGATAAAAGTGTTTATATACAGGCGTATCTCTGAGATACTGCTAGGTTGATTCTAGATGCTAAATGGTTAGTCACTTGGACTTTATGTGCACAAGTGTCTTTATACTCTACTGTAGTCTAATAAGTGTGCAGTAGTGTTAAATAGTCAAAGTGTGCAATGGCATTATGGAAAAGTTTGAGATAGTGTGAGAGTCACCCAAATGTGACACACAGACACAAAGTGAGCACTTGCTGTTGGACAAATGTGTGACAATTGACATGATCAATTTGTAAATAACAAATGTCAGTGAAGTGACATAAAAGCAGGTATACCTGTGCCAATTTTTATTTAAATGTCTACGTATTAAATCCATGAAGCATTTTGTATTTACTGTTTCTGAAAAACAGAATGATGAAAAAATTACATATATACATGCATATATACACACGTATGGATGTAATTTATGTACATAAACACACACAGTTTGAATTCTGTTATGCATATTCATGCACATACATAAGAGGGAGCTTCAACTATTCCATGTAAAAATTCATTATCTTTCTATTGTTCTTCTTCCATGAAATTTTTAAGGCCTCCCTATGTATATAACAATTTTTAGTGAGATTCATAATAATTTTTACTTTGTATCTTACATTTTCCCCCTGTATTTTCTAATATGAACATACATATTTGTTTAATTACTAAAAATATTTTACTAAGCATTTATAGTAATAAAAATAGATGCTAAGCATTCAAGCAACATGATAGTAATATATCCCCCAAGTATATTAATTCATTGTATGTCTTACTATATCTTGCGAAACTCTCTTAGGAGATTTAGATTCTCTTATTTGTTTGTTTGTTTGTTTGTTTTTTAAACTTATCTGAAAGAAGCCTGGTAGCACCGTGGTTAGAAGCTTAGCTGTGAACCAAGAGGTTGGCACTCAAACCCCCTGGTTGCTCAGTGGAAGAGAAGACCTAGTGCTCTACCCCCATAACGGCAACAGCTCAGGAAGCCCTATGGTTTCTGGCCTGTCCTGTTGAAGCAAAATGGATTCGATGACAAACACCAACAACAATAAGCTCTTCTGAAATAATTTTTAAAAGCAATGGCTTAATCTTTTAACTCATATATCTGTGCAGATATTAAAACCAAGATTAACATCAGAGAAGAAAGCTAATTGTAGCAATAAAGATCAGTGTTTGGTTCATTGATGTTTTTCACAATCCGAACATTAAATTAAAGACTCATTGAAAAATATGTGGTGAAGAAAGCTGATGGTGCCTGCCTATCAAAAGATATAGCGTCTGGGGTCTTAAAGACTTGAAGGTAAACAAGCGGCCATCTAGCTCAGAAGCAACAAAGCCCACATGGAAGCACATCAGCCTGTGTGATCACGAGGTGTCCAAGGGATTGGGTATCAGGCATCAAAGAACAAAAAATTATATTGAGAATGAAGGGCAGTGTGGAATGGGGACCCAAAGCCCATCTCTAGACAACTGGACATCCCTTTACAGAAGGGTCGGGAGGAGACGGGCCAGTCAGGGTGCAGTGTAGCAACGATGAAACATACAATATCCCTCTAGTTCTTTAATGCTTCCTTCCCGCGCCCCCCCTCCCCACCTCTCCGCTATCATGGTCCCAATTCTCCCTTACAAATCTGGCTAGACCTGAGAAAGTACACTGGTACAGAAAAGAGCTGGAAACAGGGAATCCAGGACAGATCCCCTCAGCACCAGTGGTGAGAGTGGCGATACCAGGAAGGTGGAGGGAAGGTGGGGTAGACAGGGGGAACCGATTACAAGGATCTTCATATAACCCCCTCCCTGGAGGATGGACAACAGAAAAGTGGGTGAAGGGAGATGTCGGACAGTGTAAGACATGACAAAATAATAATTTATAAATTATCAAGTGTTCATGAAGGAAGGGGGGGAAATGAGCTGATATCAAGGGCTGAAGTAGAAGGCAAATGTTTTGAGAATGATGATGGCAACAAATGTACAGATACGTTTGACAATGGATGTATGGATTATGATAAGAGTTGTGTGAGTCCCCAATAAAATGATTTAAAAAAAAAGAAAATGTTACTGCTCTCATTTCATGGATGAGAAAATGGAGGCTTAAGAGAGTGAACTGGTCAGAGCTTCAGAACTAGTAAGTGGCAGACTTGCAGTTTTGATAGAATCTGCCTGATTTCAGACTTTATCCTCGTGATCACTGCATTACAGTGAACCCTCGTTTATCGCAGTTAATCGGTTCTAGACCCTACCGTGATAAATGAAATTCCGCGAAGTAGGATTCCTTATTTGTAAATTAAATATTTTCGTAGTTAGAGCATAGAGGACAT